TATCTATCTATCTATCTATCATCTATCTATCTATCATTGATCTATCTATCATCTCTAATATCTATCTTACTGAGTCCTTATATCCTATTCTAGCTAAACATCCATAATATTTAGTAACAAAATTTTCCAATCCTCCTGATTTTTTCTTTCTTTCTTTCTCACTGTTTCCTGCCGAGTTTCATATTTATTTATCCGGTTTTCTTTCCATTTTTCAGCTTTCTCCACCTCGGTCGAGTTCCGTCACGCTGGACTGTACTTCCCCTCCGGACACTTACTTACAACACATGCTGGATCTGGATGAGTTTGTGCCCCCCGTTCCACCTCCTCCTTACTACCCCCCGGAATATACCTGCAGTTCCGAAACGGATGCTCAGAGGTGAAATGGGCTAAAAATATGGATTGCAGGGCGTGTAAAATACATTTGGGATCAACAACAGGGGAAAAAATATTCCAGGCCCTGTAAGAGGATCGGGGAAATTTTGCGGGCAGAGAGAGCTCAATTTGAAGAGAAAGAAAATGTAAGAAGAGGAAAGAAAGAAAGAGAGGGGGGGGAGAAGAAATGAATGAATTAATAAATGAAAGAAAGAAAAAAAGAAATAGGGAATAAGAAGAGGAAGGAAGAAAGGAGAGTGAACGAGGAAGGAAGGAAGGAATGAAAAAAGAAAGTAAGAAATAGGGAAGAAGAAGAGAAGGAAGGAAGGAGAGTAAGCAAGGAAGGAAAAAAAGAATGAATGAATGAAAGAAAGAAATAGGGAAGAAGAAGAGGAAGGAAGGTGAGCAAGAGAGGAAGGAAGGAAGAGAGAAAGAAAGGAGAAATTAATGAATGAATAAATGAAAGAAAGAAATAGTGAAGAAGAAGAAGAAGAGGAAGGAAGGAGAATGAGCAAAGAAGGAAGAAAAAAGAAGAATGAAAGAATGAAAGAAATAGGGAAGAAGAAGAGGAAGGAGGGTGAGCAAGGAAGGAAGGAGGGTGAGCAAGGAAGGAAGGAAGAGAGAAAGGAGAAATGAATGATTAAATGAAAGAAAGAAAGAAATAGTGAAGAAGAAGAGGAAGGAAGGGGAATAAGCAAAGAAGGAAGAAAAAAGAAAAATGAAAGAATGAAAGAAAGAAATAGGGGAAAAGAAGAGGAATGAAGGTGAGCAAGGAAGGAAGGAAGAGAGAAAGGAGAAATGAATGAATGAATAAATGAAAGAAAGAAATAGTGAAGAAGAAGAGGAAGGAAGGAGAATGAGCAAGCAAGGAAGGAAGAGAGAAATAAAGAAATAAAAAAGGGTGGGTGGGTGGGAGGAAGGAAAGAAAGAAAAAGAAAGAAATGAATGAAAGGAAAGAGATAAAGAAAAAAGAAAGAAAGGAGGGTGGGAGGAAAGAAAGAAAAAGAAAGAAAGATGTAAACAATAAACCCTCCTTCATACAGGTAGTTCTCGACTTACAACAGTTCATTCAAAATTACAACAGTGGTAAAATGGGGCAAAAACTCCCCTGACAATCGTCTTGCTTAGCAACGGAAACATTGGGCTCGATGGTGGTGGTCGTATATCGAGGATTGCTTATTAATTCATTGTCCAAACAACCTGTTTTCTGGGCTGCAAAATACGCCCTGCATTGGAAGCTCATTGCAATCAGCCAGTTTCCCGTGTGAAACTTCCCAATGAGATTAAAACATAAGCTTGAGTTACAACCGTCGTAACTTCGAACCGTTGCTAAGGGCCCGGGCGTAATTCGAGAACTTGCCTGTAAAATGGGGAAAGGCTGTGGAACTTACCTGTAAAATGAAATTTTGGGAAGCGGGTTTTAACTCTTCATTCCTTGTCGCAGTTTATTGGTTTAGCAATCCGTTTAACGGAGAATCTCTTCTTTCTTCTTTAATTGTGGTGTAGCATTACCTACAATGGCTCCATGGACAGCCCCATTCCCCTCTATCCCACCGACTTCCCTCCAAGTTATGAAGCTGTTATGGGGCTCCGTGGGGACAGCCAGGTACGGCCGTTTTGAGGTGTTGTTTTTTTTCCCAATCAACGGGAGGAGAGAGCACCATGAAGCAGGTGCAAAGGGCACATGTTGTTGTCCTGCGGAGCTGGCGGCAGAGTCAGACAGTGAGGAGGGTTGGGGAGGAACCTGGGCCACTCCTGGGGTCTGAGGAAGGCTCTGAGGAGGGCTCTGTGTCAGAGGCAGAGAGGGGGCCAGAGCCGTCTGACAATTATCAGCTGCCTTCAGAAACAGACATTAGTGAGGCAGAAGAACAGCTGGAGCCTCTTCCCAGTGTGCGCATGCACAGAGTTGCCGGACAGCTAAAGAACAGGGGTCGACTTGGGAGGAAGGCCACAGGTGGACGATGAATTCCCCCCCTCCCAGAGGAAATAAAAGAGGAGCGACGGGGGAGTGGAGTTTGCAGGAAACAATTTATTCGTTCGGTCGTTAGATTTGTTTCAGGAGTGTGAAGATCTGTCCGTGAATCTCAGAAACTCTGTGCCCAGAGCCTTTCCTTGCACAGCGCCACTTTTGGGAGATATTTATATGGCATGCAGGCTGAAGAGGTATATAAGTCTTAAATGCTATTCCTAGGGCTATAAGAATAGATCCTGTGTTCAGTTGTTAGCTAGGCCCATTGTGGAGCCTCCAAAGACAGTAGCATATATCTTGAAAACTTCACGGTCGTTCCGCGAAGCTAAATGAAATCCCTGCCTCCGCAGGTAACGCTGTTTGACTCACAATTTACGGAAACATCGCATGGGCCGTGTTCCTGCAACCAAGTCCCTTCCGTTGTGCTCAGTGGTGAAGGTAAACACACACACACACACACTTGTTTTAACGCACAATTTGAAAAAGTACTTTTGGAGTAGCTTTTCCTCCACAAACTCCCTCGCAAGACAAAGGAAGCATGTTCTAATTAAAGGTAAAGCTTCCCCTCGCACATACGTGCTAGTCGTTCCCGACTCTAGGGGGCGGTGCTCGTCTCCGTTTCAAAGCCGAAGAGCCAGCGCTGTCCGAAGACGTCTCTGGGGTCATGTGGCCGGCATGACTCAACTCCCGAAGCCGCACAGGACGCTGTTCCCTTCCCACCAAAGGTGGTTCCTATTTTTCTACTCGCATTTTTTACGGGCTTTCGAACTGCTAGGTTGGCAGAAGCTGGGACAAGGAATGGGAGCTCACTCTGTTACGCGGCAATGGGGATTCGAACTGCCAAACTGCTGACCTTTTCTGATCGACAAAGCTCAGTGTCTTAGCCCCTGAGCGACCGCGTCCTTCTTCTTCTAATTAGAGGATTGAAAAAAAAACCTCTAAATTTGCATTTAGTACACGGATCAAACTAGTTTAATGCCAATTCCCAGAATTCTCTTCATGTTTCCACACCACCCTGGGGAGGGGGACAGTCAGAAAGCAGCACAATGGTGGAATAGTCTCCCATCCTCAACTTACGGACCGCAATTGAGCCCCAGATTTCCCATTGCTAAGTGAGATGGTTGTTAAGTGCATTTCGCCCCCATATTACGACCTTCCTAGGCAGGTCGTAGATAGAGGTGGCGCTCTCACCTCACAATCCAGAGGCCGTGTCTTCGATCCTAGGCAGAGGCAGATATTTCTCTCTCTCTGGGCACAATGAGAATATTACCTGCTGAACAAAACTCCATGCTCGCAACAGGGGAGGGCATCCGGCCAGTAAAAAACTCTGCTAGCTCAATTCAGTTGCCCAGATTTCACCCCTGCAAGGATGAGGATGACAATCTAGCCCATAATATTTTGCCAATATTGTTAATATTGTTCCACGTTATTTTAAAAAGTGGCGTGAGACATATATACTCCATTTTATTCGTACAAAACGAACTTAAAGTTTTCTAACAATACGTAGATCCATTTTTCTTTTTAAAAAAGGAAGAAGATCCATCCTAATCCATTAAACCATGTTTAAGTCACTCCCGGCGGCTCGTCTTCATTTTCGCTCTCGTTTCTCAACAGCGATTTCCGTGGATAGCAACTCGCTCATCATGTCGGAGATCGTCGACATTCCCGGGGACAGCAGTCCCTCCGAGGATTCGTGCCTGCTGGAAGGGAGCGGATCGGCCTGCTCGGTGGATTACGTCCTATTCCGCTCCATCCAGCGCAGCCGAGCGGATTACTGCCTGAGCGTCGACTGCGGGCACTGCGGGCTTCACCCGCAGGGCCCGTTCGAAGACATCCCGCCGATGCGTCTGCGGGGCGAGCGCTCCTTCTCCTGCTCCACGCCCGGCACGGTGTATGATGGCCTGCTGGAGGTCAACAGTGCTCAGACCCACAGCTGCCACCGCCTGGAGGGTCTCGGCCACAACGTGGGTCCCTGTTTTCCCGAAGTCCGGATGAAGCCCAAGATGGCGGTATCGGCACGCAAAGAGCCCAGGCGGCCGCGGCGGAGCAGCGAAACGTCTTGCCAGTCACCCGTCATCCGATGTCCCCTGCTGCGGTCCCACAGTGACCCTGGGATTGGTGTGTCCAGGGAGGCCGGTAGGTAGAACAGGGAGATGAGAGTTGGAAGGGACGAGGGAGGTCTTCTAGCCCAACCCACTGCAATGAAGGCAGGCAGGCAGGCAGGCAGGCAGGCAGGCAGGAAGAAAGGAAGGAAGGAAGGAAGGAAGGAAGGAAGGAAGGAAGGAAGGAAGGAAGGAAGGAAGGAAGGAAG